TAGAAGCTCTATATGGTGCTTGGAATAGTCAAGAGTTGAGGAAGTTGAGGCAAGAGTCAGATTGATCATTGATCATTTATCCAAGTTCGCTCGGAGACCCCGCAAACACCCTTCTTTCTTTATTCGTTCCCCCCATTTTGGCAACATTGGAGATGCGCTGGAATTCAATGATTCTGCTAGATGGTGTTGGTGTTGGTGTTCAACACGAGTCAATCATCATCCATCCAGGAAGTATGGCGACATCTCTGGTGGTGCCTCTGGCATACATCACGATCCTCGTGACTTCGCTGGCCATCTTTTCCCGAGTCTATCGACGTCGGCGAGCAGGTAGGTACCCCCTTTCCACCTTCCTCCCTCCTTGTTGCGAAAGATCCAGCTGACATTGGACGTTTGTAGCGGAAAAGACATCATTCGAGCCATGGTTCCCGACTCATCCTGCACGCGATATCTACATTTCTCTTCTGTCACATTCTCCATCGGACGACACCCCTGCGATTCCTGACAACCTTCTGAAGTCTGCACTTCTTGTTCGTGCTCAAGCAGACGTCAAGCGGATCTGGCGGATACGAGATGATAAGATTGCCTTGACGTCGTTACACAACCGCGGGCTAGTGGGAGACGATACGATGGCGCGCTTTGCTGCGGCTGAGAAGGAGCTGGAGGCGGAAATTGTAGATGTGGTGCAGGAGGCCAACACATTCAGGCAAGGATGGGGAGGCATGATCTTCCAGACCGCTACGGAGATGGCGCATGCAGAGAAAACTAGGGAGGTTGTGTTGAATATTCCAAAGCTCAAAGCACAGGAGGGTACGTGAAAGTGAAAACGTGTGTTCAAGTATGATCGCTCATGAGATATCGATTGTAGAGAGGAAGATCGCGCTCAAGAGAAAGTACTTGCCTGACGCTGGCTTACCTCAATCGCAAATCACACAAACGTCAAAAACACCGCCCACAACGAATGCGGCCACAGTCGCTACACCGCAAAAAGTACCGGGTGGAAGGGGATCACCAGACCTGGCAGAGGAGGCAGCGACAAAATTGGCCACTCCAGGACCGGCGAGCGGTACAAGTACGCCAAGCAAGGTGGGTCTATCATTTATCCCATTTTCGACTCTGACGCGTCTCAGAGCACTCCTTCATCCTCAAAGAAGAAGAAGAATAAGAAATGATGCATGCTACTGGTCTTTACATGCATTAGTCGCGTCTAATGTCTGCCTCTTGAACTGCCACAACGCCAAGTCGTGTCCTGACCTGACCATCGTTTATTGAAGCCCCAGTCTACCTCTAGCTGGCCTTTAAGACGCTTTTCTATCCATAGATATGCCAGTAGTCGGTGAATGCCGGTCGTCACCCAGCCTCTGCTACAAGTTGAATGTTAAATGACATGGTCCGCGAGTAAGCAAGGACATGTGTCGTGGCGTTTTTCTATTTTGGCTCGCGGCGCTTTGTCCCCCTTTGTTCAGTCAAAACAACCATACACAAAATACATCCACATTCCTCATACGCAATTCCGTCAATCACGCAGCTACACTAAGGTTGCAGCTTTAAGATCGCCTAGACTCGCTACTCGTCAAGGGCGTGCAAATGCCAATAGCAGTGCACGAGATGAACGGCGGACCAGTGTCAATCTCTCCCACAACTCCTACCAAAGTCACGAAAGCCGCTTTTTTCCGAGCTAGGTCACCTCCAGTTCTAGATCGTCAACATCAACAACAACAACAAAATCAACATGCTGGTGACATGAATGATCTAGCGGCTAGGTTTGACCTATCCACTCGACTGGGTGCTCCAGTAGCAGAACCTATGTATAACAACAGATCTCTTCTGGTGCAGGATGAGAGGGAAGCAGGTGGAAGACCTTCGATGGCTACGGATCGCGCTTTGTCAGGTCATACTCCTCCTCTAGATTCAAGTTCAATGTCTACATCAACTGGCGAGACATCTCGATATCATCCCACATCACCACCAGTAATGGTAGCTGGTATACACGAGGACACTAGTTCGGTCAACGAACACGATCATGATAACGACGATTATGAAGGATATGATCAAGGAGGAAAGGGCGGATCGAGCGAAAGTGCAAGCATGGGGATCGCTGCTGGATCAGACGAGATGCTCATGACTTTACTGGCTGGGCAAGCTGCGGTAGATTGTGAAACTTTACCTATAGGAGGATGGGAGGAGGTTGAGAGCTGGAAAAAGGTATGTTTATATGATATTGACATGAGTCTTGGACAAGAGACGAGCGTGGTGCTGACGTGACGAAAATGCAGGAGCTCAGCCTGCTGTCTAATCGATTGTCAAGTCTTGTAGAGCGACATCAGCGAGAAGTCAAGATCCTCGCTGCAGCACGGACATTGCAAAAGCTCAACAACTCAAATAAGCGCATGTCCAAACAAACAATGGAGAGCTTGGAGCAGTCCGAAAAGCGTGCCGAAGCTGCTGAGAAGGTACGTTACTATTCTCTCCAGTTCGAAGGAAAATCCTTTGATAGAGCTGATGTGCACATCTCACAGGAAGTGCTTGTGCTGCGTGATAGAGAGGCAGCATTGAGACAAAGGCTCATGGAGCATTGGTCAGGCGTCATGGCGTGGGAAGTCCGTCGATTGGAACGTGTAGCTACAGAAGCGCAAGCTCGATTTAATCGCCAATCTCGACAGATACTTGCTTCTCGAGATCGTGAATCTGCTTTATCGTCGCGCTTGAGCGAACTAGAGACAGAGTTTGGTAAACGTGCAGAGCGAGTTGCAGAGTTGGAAGAGATGGTTGTTGAGATGGGGCGGAGAGAACGGGCTATCGAAGAGGAACTTAAGGATTTGGATAGACTAAAAGAGGATTTAGATCGAGAGCGTTCCGAGCGGAAAAGATGGGATGTCAAGTCTCGAGATATGGAACGGGATAAACAGACTTGGGAAGCAGAAAAGAGGAGGTTTGAAGATGAGCGGCGAGCATGGGAAGATGAACGAGCAGGATGGGATGAAGAACGTCAAGATATCGTACAGGCACCGCGAATGTCGGATCGGGATCGCGCAAATATGGACAATATTCGAGCTGGTTTAGGAGGACTATTGAGGCGGAAGGGAGGCATGGTAGCTGAGGATGAGGTGGAGAGTGCTCTGTCAGAGGTGAAGAGTCTCTTGGAGCGGAGGGAGAATGAGGTCGTCAGCCTCAAAGAAGAGATGCGAGAGGTCAATATGGGTCTCGAAGAGGAGCTCAAGCGGACCACGAGCGATAGAGACGGTTGGAAGTCCAAGCATGAGCAGGTTGATACGGCGCGAAGGGATGAGGTCACTCAACTTGAACGGCAGCTCAGAGTATGTCGCAGCACTTTGGTCTTCTTCTCCTTTTGGGTTTGTTCTTCTACTTTGCTGATCAGATTATGCAGAATCACGCAGACACAATCTCCGATCTCAACCTTCGTAATGAATCATTGTCAACCTCACTCAATGCTGCTCAAACACATGTCTCTCATCTATCCGCCACATCAGCCTCTACTGCCGCACTTCAGTCCAAGGTCGACGCACTCACTTCCGAGCTCGAATCAATCGCCAATAGCTTCACAGAAGTCTGGCGTCTCTTACCCTCTCCTGCGCGTCGAATACGAGCCGAGCTGATCGATGCACGTACTGGTCAACCAAATTCATCCGTCGCTTCACCAAATCACGCACTGGACCTTGCAGCACTACAACAGCTGTATTCGCCTGCATCTGCTACAGGGGATGAGAAGTTTGGTGGTATAGAAGAGATGATTAAGCGTATTAGAGGGATGGTGGATGATGGTCGGCTCCTCGTTGATCGTGTAGTCCGATTAGGCCAAGAACGCGATTTACATAAGGGTAACGCGTTGAAGGCTAAACGTCTTGCAGAGGAAAGTACGAGAGGACTAGAAACTTATCAGCAGTAGGTGTATCATTCATTGCTCGTGAATTAGTAGTAGATGATTTACTGATTCATGTTCTTTCTAGACAAGTAAGGGTGTTGGAAGATCGATTAGCAACTACTGGTAACTCCGAGTCTCGTTTCCTGTATGTTGTCTTTTTCATTTTGTTCTTCTGTGGATCTTCGTTAGGTGCATCGCTCATTCTAATTCTAGGGAAGAACTCAATTCTCTCCGTACTCAATTAGATACTCAAGCCAGTGCGAAACGAGCGCTAGAATCTCAATTAGCCGAAGCTAAACACGCCGTCAATCGTTTGACCGAAGCGAACGCAGATCATTCTACACGTGCATTAACCCTAGCCGACGAAGCAGAGACTGAAATGGTCGCATTGAAGAAAAGACTTGAGAATGAGATTGAGAATCTACAGAGTCGTGTAGCCGAGGCAGAAGAAGAGGCTGAAGAAGCTAGAACAAGAGGACAAAGTCAACGTATACAACTTCTTGACGAAGTGAGTTTCTGAATCTTCTCCCATTCTCCATTCCCCATTCCCATTCTCATACATTTCCATTCTCGATCTAGAACAATACAGATGGCTGATGCGAGAGTATCCATTAGATGAACTCACTCCAGATGGAAGTTGGCGATTTACGTAAACAGCTAAGAGCAGCACAGAGAGGCGGAATGACAAAGTGAAGTGGATAGGGACATATTTCGACGTTCTGTAGCACGACAGAGAGCACGATGACGATGACAATGACAATGGCAATGACGAGGAGAGTGAGCGTACGATCTTACGCCGGGGCAGGACAATAGAGCTGTTGTGTCGAGATCTGTAGTCAATATCACGACATACTATATATATATTCAACGAGCGGGTTTATGGCATAATTTTCTTTGTCAACATGACACCTAGGACGGCACGACCGACACCTACAAAGAGTAGGATTGTTGTTGGCGCGGCGACCAGTGCCACACTCTGAATTGCTTGCCTCCGTGTGACTCGAACGCATCCTCCAATTCGGCATCAAGGTCTCTCTGCCTCTCACCTTGCGCTGGAACCTTCAGGGTACCAAGGGGATGCATGTACAAGCGTCTTTCGAATCAGGAAACCACCAAAAAAAGGTCCTATTGGGGTTTGAACCCAAGTTGTTCGGAAGAGGGATACGATTACGTAATTAATCAAAACCGAACGTCCTAACCACTAGACGATAGAACCGTTCTCCTTGTCAAGTCATGTCTAGAATATATAGTGTTGAGTAAAGAGGAGATTTTGGTGAAGAGATCGACGTAAATTGTGTCTTCAAAAGCGACAGTGTTGAGGATAATAGCGTTTGTTTATTGTATGGCCGATGAGAACCAAGGACGCTTGAGGGACATTTGTTTGTAGTTGGCTCACGATAAATCCCTCTTCACCGCTTTGATCTCTTTCTCTATTGAACACAATGTGTTCTTCCTGTTTGATTTCATACCCAAAATAGATAGGCTGGTGATCCGCCGCTGTAATTGTTTGGTTGAAGAGGGAGGACGTGAAAGCGATGATAAGTAAATCCCAACACGCACGTTTCCTTGCGAACTTCTGTTGATACGAACTGGAGCGTGAATCGTTAGGAAAGATACCTAAGAGGTTCAAGTCGTGAAACGTTCAAGGATACATTGTATACAAAGCGTTACATCTCACATGATACATTAATGACTATGGCAAGTATGGAGAAAACCTATGCTATGCCTCTGGACCGTGTATCTATGTCAAAGCCTACCTAGACCTTTGTGTGATGCAAAAATCATAGTGCCATACCCTCATCGACCTCATCCTCTTCATCCTCCATCTTGATTTCGGGCCCTTCCTCACTGGCCAATGGAGGCTGCCATATCCGTACCTCACCATCATCACTGCAACTGGCGAATATCCTCCGAGACGCAACAGGATTCCAGGCGACAGCGTTGACGACGCTCCGGTGACCTTCAAGTACCTCGATTGGCGCAGACGCATTGGACTGATATACGTAAATATGGCCGTCTATGCGATAATCAGCGAGGCTGCAAGTCGGTACTCAACAAAAACCCACCCTCCGAGCCCGAGAGCACAAAGCGATCCTTGACGGCACCAAAGCACGATCGGATCAAGAAGCGGCTCTGCATGTGGCCGTAGAACTTGCGCACGAATCGAAGGTGAGGCTCAATCGACCATAATTGTACCTCCTATGTTTCGTCAGCTAGGCAGAACATATTAGCAATGGTGCCGTACGTCAGGGTTGCAGCTGATCAATGCCTTCTTGCCGTCGGATGACAATTTGACACTGGTCAACTCGCATCGGAGATCTTGAGTCCAGCTGCAGGTGCGCCGTCAGTACTCACGAGCTCGGCAGAACGCTCTACTCACTGCACAATCTCTCGATCTGCCAAGCGAATGACCATCAAGACATTCTCCATCGCCTCGTAAGCGAAAGCCCCGGTTCCCGCACCAACGCCAACGCCACCACCCCCAGCACCGGTCTCGGAATCAGGTAGGTCAATATGTCGTGCCGACATGCTTGGCTTGAGCTTCGATTCGATTGTAACTCGTTTCAGAGAAGTCGTGACAGCTACAATGTGGTTCGAATCGGACGTGATGGCAAAGTCCTTGATCTGCAGAGTATTGAAAGCCCACTGACGGACGATACTTCCTGTTGGACTCTGTGGGTTGATCAGACATGATTCAAGCTTGGTGATAGAGAGGGAGTCCTCACGTAAAAGATGATCTTGCAATCGAGGGACGCCACCAGAAATTCCGACCCATCAGGTTTCCACTGAATGGAAGAAATATCGTCATTATGTTGAGATGGACCCAGAGAGGATGGCCGTTGCATACCGGTCTGGCATTGCATGAGCATTAACCAGGTACCGGATCAGACTACGTACTCTGACAGACCAGATATACAGGTTGCGATGTGCCGCCGTGACCAACGTTTCACCATCTGGTGACCAAGCCATAGCATCGACCGGATCCCGATGGTCCCTCAGGTGATGTAAGGGCGATACACTGTATTGGGGTACGCCGCTAGATTTAGGCATAGCCTGCCCGCTCAGTTGCATTCGCCTAGGGACCTTACCTTTAGTTGCCATATGACTACCTGCTTGTCCTTGCCTGCACTTGCCAACATCATGCCATCTGGGCTCCACTCGATTCTCCATACCTCGTCTGTATGATCCCCCAGAATATGCGTTGTCAAACTAGGAAAGTGACCAGACTTGCATTCGTGGTCCAGATAGAGCGATGTGGGTTCGGATTCCTGGTGGTAGGGGCATGACGCTATTTGATGTTGTCGGGCATGGTCGAGGAGTGTTGCGAGGCGTCGAGAAGGTACCATAATCTGGGGGGAGATGTACTCTGATCTTGTCAATTCTGTCCATATCGTTCAACCATGGCTCACTTTGTACCGACTCAAGCAGTCTTCTTCGCGATGTACCTGATGCACCATCCCACGACGCCCGCTCGTAGAGATCCTCCTTGTCCATACTCATCATATGTCTGCTGATCAGCTCCGATCATGACACGCAGCTCACCCTGACAGGTCATGAAGCAGTTCAGGATCCTTGGAAACCGGTGCCAATTCCGCTCTCAAGACTGCCAACGCCTTTGTCTTCTGACCGACCTCCAAGAATTCCAGATACTTCTGCACTTGGATCTCGAACCGAACTTGCTCAGCCACTGTACCAGGCGCCGCTCGGGCTTTGCCGGATCGAATACTACTAGAAGACGACGCGGGCTCTTCCGAATTGGACGGTGCCGAGGAGATTCCAAGTTCCGGCAGGAGGGCGAGAGCTTCCGACCACCGCCCACCAAGAATGGCTGCTTGAAAGTCAGAGGCTGCAGAAGTGGAGAGCACATATCCAGATTCGGCTTCAAGTACGTCGGCTGATTGGCTGTTAAAATCAGTATATATCACCAAGACTGCAAAAATGCTGCTCACTTGTAGCCAATATCACGCAAGCCTTGAAGAATCAACCTTACAACCTCTTGCCGAACAATTGGCATTCTCTTTCCGGCCGTTACAGAAGCTCTATTCCGAGGACCCTTTGAACTCTCCCCCATACCAGGGCCAAAGCTTGATGACTGCTCATCTGAGATATCGAACTTGTGATCCAAATCGGCATCCTCGACCCAATCCCGGTCGTCTTCATACATGAGAGTCCCGGCAGGGCGGACGGGCCTGATCGAACGAATCATATCCGATTGACCATCTAAGTCGTCGGGACCAGGCGACACTGTTGTGCTTTTCGACCTGAGACCATTGTTGCGGGGTAAAGGGTGGCCCATGTCGCTCATTGAACTGGATTTGGAGGATGACGAGGTGTGGCGAAGAGATTCCAAGACTACGTGTTCTCCCTGTTGCAGCTCTTCAGCCTCCCGTGTATGTGTCGCAGGTATCGCCGCGCCAGAAAGAGTACCAGAGGTCTCCGCAGCTGATGATCGATCCGTTTGTCTTAGTCTCTGTCTGTGCTTGGGCCGGATGTCTTCCTCCTCGTCTGAGGAGCTATGCAGACGTACAGTCCCTCTCTGCATGTAACAACGGCCGAAGAGCGGCGAGGAGGGGTGTTGCGTAGAGAAAGATTGATCAGATGGAGAGAGAAAGGAAACAGACGATGAATCAGCTTGGAAACGGAGTCAAAGCTTCCACGTACCTTGGTCGGGCCTTCCGCTCCGAATGTCCGTGTGACGCTTGCACCCGGTCTGTTCAGCTGGGTGGCAAGGTCGGATGTGGCCGGCAGATCCAGAGGAAGAGTGACAACAATGGGCGAGACAACGGCTGGCGAGAGAGATGAGGAAGGGGAGGACGTCTTGAGAACGGAGGGTCAGGTCGCCCTCCTGCAGTCCTGGCAAATGGCGGGAGGCAAGGAGGCGGTCGGCGAGTATGGGTTCAATATACAGACAGGGAACCTCGGCGGTGTAGTAGAGGCCCAAGAAGTAGGGGAGGACGGAGAGTAGGAACACGGTGTGCGCTGGAATCTGATCTGTACTCGCTGTCAATCTCGTGTTCCTAGTCACGATGACCATCTCCCGCAACAAGTGACGGCAAACGACGGGAATCTTATTTAATCCTCCCCCTTTAAGGGTATTCACTCCTAAGCGGTGCTCCGCCATACACTCACGTCGTTGTCGTCCTCCTTCCCCTCCTTCCCTATCGTTCATCTCTCAGCAATCCATACATGGCAGTCAACTGAGACCTGCCTGACCTTTCCAACTACACTCAAAGACTATAGGCCTGTCGCTCGATATACCTGTCCGTCGCTCCTGGTGATGTCTTCTCCTCTCGAGACAGACGGCTTCCATTCCATCGAGATCGGATGGGATACACAGCACGAGCCACCTCCCCGTTCGGGGTTCACCGATGTATCTTCACCACTGGAAGAAGATGGGGACGGTTTTGAAACCATCTCGGCTGCATCGCCGCCTCCTCCAGAGTCTGTCGCGTCAACTTCAACTGCGCATGATGATCCGAGAGCCAGGACACCGCGAAAGGATCTTGGACAGATGGGACAGAATGTGGATCCAAATGAATGGGGTGGGAAATGGATGAGCATCGAGGTGCGAGATCCAGTCAAGGAGCACGAAGGAAGCAAGGATATGTTCGTTTCGTATGCTGTCAGAACGCAGGTGAGTCTTCAGTACCGTGTTCTTTATTTCCCTCAACACAATACTTTGTATTTCCGAAGAAAGAAACCTTCATTTTCATCCTGTAGAAGCACTTGACAGGTGAACCTTAATACTGATTATATCTGCAGACAAATCTACCCAACTTCCCTCCAAACCTAGTCGTTCGCCGCCGGTTTCAAGACTTTGTCTTCCTTCGAGAACACCTGGTCAAGAACTTTCCCGCCTCTGTAGTCCCTCCAATCCCTGATAAACATCGTCTTGGTAAGCTCATCGATTCCGGGCCGCCTGAAGGAGCTTATGTATGCTACAGAGTACATCAAGGGAGATCGCTTCTCTCCTGAGTTTGTAGAGCGACGACGATACGAGTGAGTGCACGGTTCATCGTCTTGGCGGGTAGCTGACACGTCGATAGTTTGCAGCGCTTTGCCGATCGAATAGCACGGCATCCTACACTACAGCGTAGTCTGCTAGTCCACGATTTTCTGCAAAGTACAGAATGGGTCAGCTACTTGCGTTGGAATGAGTCCGCTTGCGAGCTGACACTCAATAGACGGTGGCAAAACATCACCATATCTCCAATC